ATATGGCTTCTTCCTAAATACTCCCTTAAACTGGTACCCTCCCCGGCTATGATCCTGGGATCCTTGTCTAAATATGGTATAGAGTACCTCAAATAGACCTCAACCTGAGATTGGTAGGTATCTAGGCTCCGATCAAACTGATGGCCACGGCACTCCTCTAAATTGATGGCTCCATCTCCCGATGAGTCGATTGTTTTGAACAACTTTTTCACCTTTCCTGAGGGTTCAAGATTTAGGAATTACAGGTTAAGGGGATCTAGTACTTCCAGGCTTATAGTCTGGTGGTTCGGAGGTTTCTGGAGGTAAGTCGTGCTGTCCACCGGCCCGGGGTGTCCCTTGAATTCAATCTGGAGGAATTAACCTGTTTGCGCTTCCCAGAGACTTGCAGACAGGCCACATGCAAGCACACGGTGTGTAAGCTTCAGGGCTTTGGGTATACATTATAACTTAGGGTCCAACAGGTTTCAACATAATACTTGGGGCATATATGAGGCATGCATATATACATATGTCTTATACCTACAAGGAATCCTGTGAGGATCTTTGGCCCTTTCAGAGACTCAGAGAACCGTGAAATGCGTATCCCTAATGCTTGCGCCCGGCGCAGGTTTTTTTGGGGGAGCCCATGTGAGCTATAGGCTATAGTCTAAACTCCTAGTATCCCCCTGAATAACCCCTATAGTAATCCCCTACATAATCCCTTATACAACCCCCTTTAAGGAGTTTAGATTCTGTGTCATTTGGGCCCAGATTCTATACGGCTTCAGACAAGGAGGGTATCCCGACGTGTTTTGGTGCTAGGCGAAAAGCTTACACACTGAGGAAATGGAAGTGAATTGCCAAGATGCAGTTTAAGCATATACATCCCCAATGTATGTAAAACAGTAGTGTGTCGAACTATTGTGGTATTTGTTGGCAATTATGATTTTTACTCAATCTGAGGGTCCAGGTACAATACTGTTGCACCACCTAGCGGCCCCAGACTACTGAAAATCCTGGAACTTCAGGGACTTCGGGTGGTGCAAGATTTCCTCCGTCAACAGTATGTGTACCTGCTACAGCCACTTTAGGGTTGGGGACGCAGACTTTGCATCTAAGGTGGAATCCGTATAGGCCCTGTAAACGCTGGACCGTCTGCCCCAAATATTGGAAATCCTCTTCAGAAATCTGAAACCCAGTCTGCCCTAGGTTTCGAGTTTGGGCTTTTCGTGGGCTTGTCCATTTTTCTTGGAACCTGAACTTTGAAGTTTCTAGCGCACGCAGCAAAACTTCAACTCTTCTCACGGAATTGCAAAACCTGTAGGCCGCCGAGGCAACAGCCCAACCCAAACCTCAAACTACGTTTAAAGGTTCAAGTTCGCATCTTCCCATTGTGCCGAAGATAATGGATGGTACAATTAAGAGGGGTCGCATGGCGATCGATAACGCATTTTAGTCTCGAGAGCTCCCAGGGGCCGAAAGTTATCGGATCGGAAGTTCGGGCTTGCTGGGTGGTCTTTGGGCGAAACTTCGCATGGCATACATCTTGCTCTGAAAGTTTTGCATGCGCTTTCAGACAGGCCCAAGTTTCCAAGCCATCTATGTGAAGCGTGAATAGAGATAGGTAGGGTGTGGGGTTCAGGGGCTTAGGGTGTCGCTAGGTGTTGCCTTTAGGAATCGGGGCATAGCTGCAACGACATGAAATTCCGAGGCACAGCAGAAGAGTGAGCCAGGACAGTATGGACAGGAAAAACCTTTTACGAAAAGAATGGAGGACTGCCTTCACCAAGCTCCACACAATTCAGGGCTCAGATTGATTGAAGAATGATGGAAAGTTTGAGGGTGTAGGGTCCAGGGTTGAGAGTTGACGGATTACGGCATAGGACTTAGGGATTTGAATTTAAAGGTTTAGTATTGAAAGCACCTCGAAAGGTACGCCCCCGCTTTGGCCACACGCCCGTTTTTGAAGCCTAAAGGTGGAGGTGCATAGCTTCCTCTTGGCCTTTCGCTGCAGTCGAGTGGCGGTTGTACAGCGCAATGTCCTCAGGTTTCAGATCATTCCACCTACTTTCTGTGACCCTGGGGGGGAAACTTATGAGTTAGGGAACCTAGATCTAGAGTCTACAGAGGGTTACAGTACAAAGCTGAATCGGCCCATTACACTGACCCAAAAAAACAAGGAACCCCTGAAGTGATGGAAAGACTACTGACCCGTCGAAAGCGGTTAATGGGGTTTCGCGTTTGCCCAAAGGAAAGAAATTTGGTAATAAGATCCCCATATACCCTATTATAATATCATAGTTTCCATGTTATTTTGGGGTTCTGACTGCAAATTAAACGGCGGTCAAAGCTCAAATGGCCCTATCGGAAACTCTTGGGAAGCTTTGTAGGAGTCGAGGAAGGGCCTAAGAATGCACCCAAACATAAGGGTCTATATAGATATATCTTCATACGGATTTCTAATCAGGGGGTTATATAGATATATACACATACGTATATACAGATATAGAAACAGGGATTTGGCTTTAGGGACACCCTATACTGGCAGCAGCCTGGAAGAAGGGTCCCCATCAACTCCCAAGCTGCACGGCGAAGTCAATCCGTATCCTCATATATTCATATACTTATATACATATATACTTATACACCTCTACATATCCGTATACATCTCAGTATATCCCTAAACCGCCAATGTCGAGAGCTTCGTCGCCATCCTAACATCGAGGCCCTGACAGAAGGGGTATTTGTTTCTCAGTAGTGCAGTTGCTTTCAGAGCCTTTCCCACAGGTGGAGGCAGATGATATTCAGCGATGAACAGCAGAATGGTCAGCAAGACACTGTGATTGATCTCAGGTTAAATCGCATGATCTCACCGCAGCATTGAAGATTAGCTTATATTGGCTTCTACGGCACTTATACCTCGCTACATGCCCCAAGCTGTCACAAATTGGGCACTTGGATCGTTAGCAAATCCTAGATATACCAAATAAGATAATAGCTCGGTGTTTTGGGTTCTCATTAAATTTACTTTTTGGGTAGCCATAGGGTCAAGGTTTTGCACTCACCCATGGGACTATTTTGGCTTCAACAGCTCAGCAGTGCACTCATAGAGCTAAGCAAGCTAATTACGGATTTCTTGAGGGTCCACGTATGATGGCATCGGGCGGTACCGAAAAAACATTAAGATTATTGCAGCTGGTACCTAAACTAGCAATCCTATTTGAGGTTTTCGACCCTTAAGGAAAGAAGGTCAAGTACATTGGTCGGCATGTTTTTCGCAAAGCCTTGGAAGATCAGCAGGCCCCTGATGTGTAACAACTATACGCCATCACAGCCAGGGGGTGAGTATACCCATGTGAACCACTGATGAGGTAGCGTGATTTCTCGTCAGTTGGAGTCTGCATTAGTTTGCAATTTTTCATGCCCTGCTCATAAACCTCAAATGCCAAAAACATCCTCCATGTTTGGAAACCATCTGCAGGTGGGTAAGTAGAAGGTATGCAGTTTGCGTCATACTTGCATGGCGACTGCCATCAAACTCTGAACCAGATCATGGCACCGATGCAGGACGGCTAGGGAAACTATATAGCGACATTACAGCTACACAGCACCACTTTTCTCTGGGTAACTCCTATATATGCACTGCTGATTCTTAACCTGCATACACCTTTGACAACATCTACATGAATATGCTGAAGTTTGTCTGGAATCATACGAACATGAACTTGACCCATAATCTCCATGGCGCTTTGCAGAAATGAGAGCGCTGCCATCATCCGTGCATGCCAACATCATACAAAACCCCCTGCAAGACCATCTTTCTTTGTAGAACTACAACCTCTCAATTTAAAGCCCCTACCTTACGTCTGTATAGGACCATCTCCGACATGGTGCTGCGTTGATGGCCTTAAGCCCTGTTCTACAATTGCTTTTGCCCTAATCTCAATCACTCAACCCTTACAGATCTAGATTTATCTGACGCAGTCTAAAAGATCGTACACCCCAAGCTGCCTACAATCTAAATCCATTCTGATCATTCGGCCTGCCACAAAAGCGCAGGCCAAGGCGCTTTCTCTTTCTGCCGGAAAGCCTGGATATGAGGGCTGGGGAACAAGTGCTAGGGGCATTTTGGCTACCCCAACCCTCAAATCAGGGTTTTCCCTACTTAGCCTCAAGCCCTACATGCCATTCCGTAAAATTCTATAAACCCAGTTTCCACTTCGTTCTCGGTTTCTCATCCATGTCATTTGCGATTAGAACCGGAATCCCCAGAATTAGATACGTTATAATACAATATATCATACTGAATATTATATCATATTATACTATATATTATACTATACTATAGACCCTAAGCCCTTAAGCCCGCACCTCTGGTTTTTCAAACTGCACGCAGAAGTCACTAGCTGCTGAGGTTTCCGACAAAGCTTTTAACCGCCTAGTTCATGATGTTCATGTAGGGGCCTAGATTAGAAGTCAAATTGTTTAAGGTCAGATAGGTTATCGGCTATAGGGAGCGTAGAGGGATTTTGCGGGAATGGAAGGACAAAGGGAAACTATTCAAGGTTTTAAGGCTTGGTCTGCTTTATAGTAAGGGTACAAATCAGCAAACGATGAGAGCTTGTCCACTCAGCTACTAAGGTCGATAGAGTTCTCCTGCCAATGGTCAGCAACCAAAAATGATGCAAAGCATACCTTCGCGGTCCCTTGCCATGCAGCAGTTTCCATGAAGAGGGGGACCCCAATACGGACCCCAAAATTCCATAATCGTTCTTGTAGTAAGCCCAACCCTTAGTGTTAAACCCTAAGCCCTATCTTACAAGCACGCCTTCATTTTGGAAACCTCCATATAAGAAGCACGCCGCTCTTGGGACATGCAGAATTGAAAATCTTCATTGCCTGCCCAGACCTGTCTCTTAGGCTTTAAAAAAAGGAATCTCCCAATTCTCCCCAAGTTTTTACTGGGGCGGGAGAGCATTCCATTTCACGCATACCTGAGGGGGTCTGGGTGGAAAGGAGGATCACTCATCGGCGTCCCATACCTTCCACACCTTCCCGGTGCCTGCATCAGCAAGCCCCCATCGAATCATCCGGCCAACTTCGCCAACTTGCTGTACGCTATCCATAGCACTCCAAGATGCCAGAAGGCCAGACTTCGGGTCAAAGATGAGGGATTGCAGCTCGATGTTGAACTGGTCGATGTTCATGTTGCTTCTGATCCTAGTGAGTATGAGTTCTTTGTCGGCTTCGGAAGATGCGCGCATGCTGCGAACATCCAAGTTCTCTAGTGTGTGCGTACGCTGCATGATGGTCGCCCTGGATGCAAGTTTCAATGCCTGGTTCATGTGCAAATGATTGGCTTCTGCAATCTCGGCGACACACCAGGCACGATTGAACAAGTCCAGAGATTGGTCCACCGCAATCACTTGCCTGCATCCTCCTGATGTTGCAAGTTGATACATCATGTCATCAAACTTGTTGATCTCTGACTCTGTACTTCGACCATCCGGATCCGAGATGTTCACGCTACTGCAGGTACACACGGGGTGCAATTCATTTGTGAAAGGATCGTTATCATAAGGGTTGCTGTGGCATATGCAAACATGCTGATTAACTCCAAACGCGCAAATCCAATACGTGTCATCCAGGCGTCCGCTGTCATTCAGGACCTCCTGAAGGAATGCGGGGTCTGCCTCAAGCAGCTTCGTAACCAGGCTGAAGCTGCATTCTTGTAGGGCATCCGCGATGACGGCTGCAAGTAGATCCTGCAAACCGCAGCGAGCGCGGGTTGAAACTCTTCTTAGCGGCTCTTTACCCCCGAATACAAGTTTAACTGTTCGCGCGTAATATCTTGTAACATGAAATAGAAGAATTGAAAAAGTTATAAACTGGAAAATGGTAGTAAAGTTCCACCAAGTCTTAGCCCCATCCCATCAGGCCCCACCGCCGCGTCTACCCAACCAACACCGCGACCTGAGAAGCTTAAGCCTACATCTACACCTTTACAACAGAAGTACCACCCAAAAACGAACCCCTAAAACAGAAATGACCAAGCAGGTCCTTGAAGCGATTACCCCAATTGTGGGTCACCATGACGTCAGCTCTTCGTGGGCCGTCCAGGTTCAAAGTTGAAGCTGCATATGATGATTCTTCCCTGCGAGTCAGGGGAATGATCACTCGGCGGACCACATCTCTGGTCTTGTGTTCCCTGGGCACATAGCCCCAGTTTCGCATTGAAGGAAGTTCTTCCTGATAGAAGCGGCAAAGGCTGCGCAAGGTCATGCCACGTAGCGAGATCTCTTCAACCTTTGGTTTCCATGCAGGACTCCAAGCTGTCTCTTTTGCTAGGACTGCTCGAGGCTTTGCATGGCATACCTGGCAACAGATTCGTTGGGGGGCTTGGCCAGGTGGGATGGGCTCTGTGCCTTTCTCAGACAACCTGTGGCTGCCAGACAGTAGCAGTGCAGCAATTCCGTTCCCAAGGGAATCCAGGGACTGAATTGAAACTGCCACCCAATTTACCCAAGCAAACTCCACTGGCAGAATATCAGTATAGCTAGTCACCACTGCAGCTGGAGCGACGCAAATTGTGAGCACCAGGCTGAATGATACTCCCAGCGACTGCAGAAAGGCAAACCTGCGTGCTCGTGATAGAGGCGATCTTGCTGCAGCTGATTCAACTTGGGAATCTGCAAGCCGCAAGAGCCTACGCAATGTGAGCAAGGATTGGATCAGGGAGCGAATGGCAACTGCGGATGCCACCATGTTACACACCCAACTCAAACACGCGGCTGCCACTGCTGTCAAAAATAACTGTATTCCTAGCTCCTTCAGGGAACCGGAGTTTGATCCTAGCTCCTCCACGACCTCAGAGTCAGAATTGCCAGGGCAAAGGAACTAAACCAAAGTACACCGACCGTGACACCCAAGGATTGCAACCAAATGAGCCTCCTAAAGCAACGGCTGCAGTATTTCTGATGTGAGGTTTGTTCCAGTATGTCTAATCTCTTGGCCAATAGCATCTGCATCCAGAACAAACCAATCAGATAGAGCACCACTCTGCAAAATACAAATGCGGCGTGGAAAACGGACTTGTCCATCCGATCGCCGGGCAGGAGGCCATATTTGCACCGGAAACGATACTGGCACGAGTCACACAAATGCCTTTCGAAGCCAATCACCAGAAGAGTTAACGAGCCAAACAAAGACTGAAACCAGTTGATGGTTGCATAGCCGCAGCCCCAGTGGGCATGAGTTGAAGCTCTAGCACGTTTCTGAAGAAATGCTGCTACACAACCAGCCCCAACACTCGCAAGCATCAAACCGGAGAAGGAGATCTTGTCTGAAAGAGGGCACACAGAAACCTCCAGGATAGGGACAAACTCGTACAAGTGGGTGAACTCAAAGTTTCTAGGAAACAGACACGCTGTGGCTGTTGCATTCACGAGGAAGACCAAAAAATATGATCCGGGGCGCCATGGCTGCCATGTCTTCAGCACCCTACTGTGTGCTCTGGACGAGGTTGAGGTCTCTGAGGTCTCCTCCTCAGAGCCCTCAGAAACTAGTTGTGCCATGCTGAAGATAGCAACCAGGACGGCTGCAGTGATCAGATTTCCGCATTCATGAAGGGGCCCCCTGAATGCCAACATAATTTTGAGGTATGTTTGAGGTGCCCTGTACCAAGTCTTACAGGATCCTTTTCGTTGGGGTTGGGGTAACAAAGCTCCTGAGATAGGGTAAGTCATGGTTCTGGGCTTGAGGTATAGGGTGTAGACTTTGAGGTATGTGCGTGTGAGAAACCTTTTAGCAACAACACTCCCTTGAAATGAGTTTTCTAGGGCTGACGCAGTTCTCGGAGTAGTTGTTGGGAATGGAGTGGGGGTTCTCAAAAAGAGTGTGCCAGGGACGAAGATGACGACCAGCGCCTACGGAATATAAGGTGATCATGAGCGGCAGCTAAGGAGGCATTGCTGAGAGAGGCTCGCATAAAGGTGTGCCAAAGTGGACCTACATGCAACATAATTTGGGCTCTCAACATTCAGCAATCTTAATTTGCAACCACTGCCCCAAAAGCACCATGGTTCCGACCATCAACCGAAAGCCCTGAACCCTGAACCCCCAACCCCAAACCCCATGCCCCACAATACCCTGACCACCAACCAATCGATCAACCAAAACCCTAGAGAAACAAAAACGGTATCAACTTATCAGCCAACTACAGCCTTCCAAAGGTTGGTGTTAAACGCGCAAACCATGTTCCGAGCTCAAGGACTTCGGCCTACCTTATGGTGAGAAGGATTCTGAGGCTTAATTTGGGGCCCAGGTGTATGCTACATTGCTGCTACATAGCTGCATGGACCCTTGGGGGGAGAAGCATCCTACAAGCACTACTGTCCGTGCGACCCTAAACCCTAAACCCTAAATCGTAGTTTCCATTTCCTTTTCCTTTATCCCTATGTATCCCCAATAAAGTATAGTGATTTCCATTTTCTTTTCCATGATCCCTATGTTGGCTCCAGGTGGCTTTGCAATAGGCAGCGGCATATGAGAATCTTGCGGACAAAAACCTAAAACAATTCCAAGAGCCCCAAGACTGAAACCTCAAACGGGTAAACCACAATGTAATCCCAGAGTCCATTTCATGTTCCACGTGACTGTTCCATTTGATTCTCCATTGTTGAGGCGACAAACCCCTATACGTCCCTATGTATCCCCTCAATGACCCTATAATCTATACATACTTCCTAGATAATCACATAGGGAAGCCCTAAATGGCAGTTTCCATGAAACGGAGACCCCACTATAGACCACACTACATTCTAATCTGGCCCACCCGAAATGGTGCCCCTAATTTGCGGGAAATCCCTAAACCCTAAACCCTATATTACCCCTAGATATGCCCCATAACTCCTTTTCCAGGGACCTCCTACCGTAAACCCTGAAGAGCAAACCCTAGACCCTAAACCCTAAGGATTTATTTGGAACTTCCCAAATAGGAGCCGAGAAACAAGCTCTTCATCGGAGCTGGCAGTTTTCATCGTCTGCTGCACCTTGGAAATAAGGTTTAAGGGTTCAAGGTTTATTAGGGTTGGGGGCTTAGAGTGTATAGCGTATAGGGTTTTGGGGTTTAGGGATTTGGTTTTTGTGGTTTAGGATTTGGGGTTTAGGGTTTACGGCTCAGGATTTGGGGTTTAGGGTTTAGCCTTTGAAGTTTAGGGTTTAGGATTTGGGGCTTTGGGTTTAGGATTTGGGGTTCGGGGCTCAGGGTTTAGGATTTGGGTTTGGGATTTAGGGTGTAGTATTTGGGCTTTGGGGTTTAGGATTTGGGTTTTGGGGTTTAGGATTTGGGTTTTGGGATTCAGGGATGGAAATAGCCCAATGTACTACCCCATAATGGAGAATCAAATGGAAAAGCGCATGGACAATGAAATGGAAACAAACAGCCCAATGTAGGCACATCTGCAGATTTTAGGGCCCAATGTAGGCATTCTTTGTATGCTTGGATCCCTAGAGATATGGGCTTTCCTATTAGAGGTCCGCGCTTCTCAAACAACTGAGAACGTGGGATTTGGGCACTGGTAGTTGTAAGATTCTGGGGATGCATACGAAGATTGAGTACTTGGACTTTGAGGGATTGGGCGGGTTTGGGATCCTAGGCATTTAACGCTGCTGCAAGCTTTATCTGCTAGATGCTTTGACAGACATGCTTCGTTGCGCATCGCTCCGGCTTAGAACACTAAATCCTAAACCGGTTTTAAAGTTAAAGCCCTGATTCAAAGCTCACGACCCTCAAACTTGAGTCCGAACTGCCGAACTTAAAATACAAACACCTTTAACTGGGTTGTCGTTAAGGAGCCCCAACTTTAGTTGCCATTATGAGGAAGCCTTATTGTTTACCCCCCAACCATAATCAAGTGAAAACTCATGAAGTTCTTAACAGCAGGCCAGCCCGTGCATCCAAACCCAAAGTGTCTCATCTACAGCTTTGCAGAAACGACGACCATGCCGACAACTTACTAAAAGGCGGAGGATGAGATGCCTGCAAGGTACTACATCATCTGCATAAATCCTGTATTGCTCCGAGGACAATATGGATGGTGACACATATATAGGGATTATATTGGGAGAATGGAAAAGAAAATGGAAACTACTATATATTGGTTCATATTGGGGTTATATAGGGATGATGGAAAAGAAAATGGAAACTATTATATATTGGTTCATATTGGGGTTATATAGGGATAATGGAAAAGAAAATGGAAACTATTATAAATTCAGATTAGTTCGCGAATTAGGCCCCACTTTGGTCTTTGCTTGCGACTTACCTGACGTGTTATGTGAACAGCACAAGGACGTTAACCGCTTCGGTCAAACCATGAGCGCGCGACCCGCAATGCTGCTTACTGGTGCTTAAGGGGGATGGGGTACCATTATAGGGATATATCTGGGGCATTATTTAGAGGGATCCACGTATACCTGAGGATTATCTATAGGGTTTATTGTTGCGATCCACGTATGTCTGGGGTTTATATAGGAGTTATTACAGGAATCCACCCCACTCGCTCTGCTTTAAGCACCAGTATGGCTGAACGTGCTTTGGATCCAAGAAAACGAATGATTTTTCAGGTGGGGAGCTTCCAGCCGGGTTACCTAAGGATCATATTGAGCTAGCTACAGTCTAAAGGCCTGAAAGGGGGGTATATAAGGGAGCATACTGGGGAGTATATGAAGTATTATAGAGGTTGTCATGGGGGATAGTAGGAGTTCAGACTATAGCTCATGTGGATAGATCAGGGCTATGTACGCCTTCTATAGGGAAAGAACCACTGAACTTTCCTAGCTTACACAAGGAGGACAGTGAAGCTAAGAATCGAAGACTGCGTTGACCACGTTTAAAACAGCAAAGCCGAGCACCTAGGCTGGACTAGTTATTGTAGGTTTGGCGGTCTGGGAATTCGGGTTTAGGATTGAGGAGCAGGTTTTAGGGCGATGGATCAAGGGGTATGGGCTCAAGGTTGAGAAGTTAAGGTTCCGGGCTTTTCAAGTTGGTGCCTGGCTTTTGCGATTGAGCTTCATATCCCACCCTTAGGATTCAAGTACCCAACTAGCACCTATTTGGGGTGCAAGTGGATCCCATATAGGTACTCTGGGCCCACACCATCTACTCTTCTAGGCACTTGAATCGCTAGGGCCAGGATCTTGGGACGAGGGATCGGGATCCTAGCATATGCACTCTCTTGAATGCGGTAATTACCCTCTTTAGGCTAAGGAATGCCAGGGCCTCAAAAAGTGTGTATATGTATATAGGTGTATGTGTATATTGTTATACATGCGGAAGAAGATCTTGCATTTCTCTGTTTAATGGGTTGTGGAACATTGTTTGGGTCTGGGTAAGGCTCCTTCTTGCTCTGGGTATGAAATTGTATGTGTCCAGTCGCAACAGTACCGTGATTTCAGGTAATGAAAACGCTATGAGCATAGTGTTCGGTATGTGGACTCTATGGGCTGCTGTTATGAATTTAGATTTCGTTGCCAGTGTCAGGAAAGCCTATCATTTGCTATGTCTCCATATTCTGGTAACCCTAACCCTTTACACCAACTTCTTGAGTTGCTCAACGGCAACCCAGAACTGGCTGGTGCATGGGCAGCTTTTTCTGGGGCAAGAAAACACATTCCCTCAAACGCCAGACCCAAAACCCCAAACCGCTAACCCTCAGCATAAAACCCACGCTTTGGGACTGCATGCTCCCCCATCGTAGTCGTCAGAACTTCCCTAACTACTAGCCGTCCTCAAGGGTCCAAGACTCAAGTATGATGCTTCGGGTACCAACTATCATATAGTCCCCTTTTTTTTACCTGGAACCATCACGTGTGAGTCCTTGGACCCTTGAGGCCTGGTAAGTTGAGGCAAGTGAAGGACGCAGAGAATGATTACTACAGGACAACTTTTACATCATGCGCGGCCCGAAGAACATCCTTACATGGACCGAAATCAACTTCTAAGGTAACTGAACTCAGAGGCTCCGCGTAGGTGTATGGTATATACTTGGGGCCCAAACGGGCTCCGGTATAACAACTGTTGGGCTCCAGTCTACACAGTATCAACTTGTTTCGATTTGATGCGAACCACAAGACGGCGTTCTTATCCTACTCATATCTCTCTGCTAGATAGATACCATATTCATAAACGGAGTATGAGATAATTGCAACGGTCCTCTTTAGGGACTCCATAAGATATGATTGATTCTGACAACTTCGCACATTCTTGATTGGAACTGAAACTCATTGCTTGTTGCTAGCTTAGATCACCTGGCTTTTTGCCCTTTTACACCAACCTATATGTAATATTCCCGAAACGCAGGCCTTAGTCAAGGCACGTAGAAAACAAACGGTAAGCATGGTAGTAAGACGAGCGTACTAAAAGTCATAGTCGCGGGGAAATATTTCTAAAATGCTAGACACGAAAGCATACGTGAGTTACAGTCAATGTTTCCATGTGTAGTTCATGGGCATGGCGTCCTACAAGTGAATATCTGAGGTATAAAATACTACAAGGGGGAGCCTTATATCCACC